AGTGCAGCGACGCCCTATAGCTTAGGTCCATTCTTGGGATTCTTGCCTGGCAGTCTGTCCAGATACATGTACTGGAGCAAGGTCCATTCGAGATAGATAGAGAGAAAAATATGGGCCTCGCTGCACTACTCTCGAAATGTGCAAAACGAGAGTGAATCTTCAGCTAGAATTCCGAAAGATACACCGCCAAGATTTTTGTCTTTTGTGCATGTCGAGAGTAGTGCAGCGACGCCCTATAGCTTAGGTCCATTCTTGGGATTGCACCTCGGACGGCTCTGAAATCACAATTCCAAAATCCGAACCCATAACTTTTTTTCCACAGATGGCAGGGACGTCGCAGAAGGATATAATCTCAGCAGAGTCTCATCAGAAGCATAGTGTTCCCCTCGTGGCTGAGGGTGAAAGAGCATCAAATGTTGCTACTGGTAAGTGATCCATTGGACCACAAGATGATAAATTGGATTAGGGGCCTACCCGACCCACATCTTAAGAAAAATGCATGGCTGATCTCCGCTGTTGATCTGCTCAGATCAGCGGCGGATATCCTGTGTCCGTTTTTGTTATAGAAATGGGGTCCTGGCCAATCTTTGCCGCTGATCCGCGATGATCGGCGGCCAAGATTGGCCACTTTCTGTACTTGAAAAATCCGGGCCTACAGGACCCGGTTTCGAAATTGCGGGGCAGGGCCCGCCCCCACGAGGCCTCAAGAGCACATACGGGCCGACAAAAAAAAAATTCAGCCCCCAGCGAAAATGCGCTGGGGGCAACCGGGAGGGAACCGGCCTGGGCCACCGGCCGGTCCAACCGGGAGGACCGCGGATGGGGTAGGGGTCCCCGGTCCATCCGGGGACCAGCCCTGGTTGTACACTCTTTTTTTCTTTTTTTTCTTTAATTTTTAAATCAGGTCTGCTGGAGTTGCTGATATGAGCTTTCTATTGGTGGGGAGCTACACCTGCTGGAAATCGGGTCTGACGTTCCTCACAAAGAGTGAAATGCAGAAGTTCAGAAAGAAGTCAAGATACAGCCCAATCCCCTGCCACCCAAGACACTCTGCAGGGGGGCTGAGGCTGTGCCCCCATCCTTCTCCCCGGGCGCCCAATGGCCGGGAAACAGACCTATGTACCCAGTCACACATTAGGTGTGCCTCGGGAGGGGTGGGCCCAGGTCCCCTGGACACCGCTTCAGTCACCGGGCCTCGCAACACCGCAGACGTCCTCCTTTTTTAGGCTGTTCTATCTTGTGTTTTGGGGCCCTTTGAGGTGGGTTAACTCGACACAAAATCACATTATTTTGATACTTGATTTGTCTTGTGCAGAATGATGTCAAGCTCTGTGGACATGCAATTGAGTGTCGAATCAATGCCGAGGATGCTTTCCAAGGATTCCGTCCAGGACCAGGTTAGATGGTTTATCTTGCCTGTGGCGGTGTTATACTATTAGAATTTTAGTCTCGGCATGCTCTGTGTGCGTCATGACATGCACATATGCTGCTGGGCTTCTTCTGTATGCCCTTGCTCATCTCATCTTATATTTTACTCTCATGAGGAAGCTTAGGGGCTCCTCTCTACTGGAGGACCTGATATGGGGCAGATAAGCTTGAGAACCGGGATGCGGATGAAGACATGATGAATGTGACTTTGATTTCGATAGTCGAGGGTGTAACACAGATGGGAAGGGTCATGAGGCAGATCTGTTGCACATCGTTTGCACAATTGATCACGACTCACGGCTCTTGTGCTTAGCACTCTGATCATGATTATTCTGCTTGAAACAACAACCTGCAATAACTGCTGCCCAAATAAGGGCATGCGATGGTGGAAGTGTGCAACCTTAAAAATTGAACTTCTGTTACTGATTAATTGCTATGTGCCAGAAAATTTCTAGCCACACACACAGCAGTGCCCAGGACCAAAATCATTGAGGCCATTTGGCTGTGACGCTTAGTCTCTTCGGGCGGTCATGTGGCTCCAGAAGGTTATGAGGTTTTGCGGTGACCCGAGAAGCTTTAAGCAGCCACATCACTTTGAAAACATGAATCACCTCAGATGATGTAGGGCATCAGCAATCTTTGTGTGTGTGTGTGTGTGTGTGTGTGTGTGTGTGTGTGTGTGTGAGAG